TGATTGTATGTTATAGCAATTACTCATGTCTGTTGCTACTAAGTGCTATCTCTTACAGTGTATTTGATTACACATAATAAATTGCCTTATACTAAATTTCAATATCCTTTCTATTATAAGCTTAAAATCATCAAGGTCAAGAGTCAAGTGATTCAGTGTTATCGTTCATGCTTTCCTGACAGTCTTATTTCAGTATTAAACCTCAATAATATTTGAAGGCCATAACAGGAATTACAGTGTATAGCTGTGGTGAATACTTTCCATGTACAGTATATTAACATGCAAACCTTGTAGTATCGGGAGATATGAGTCACTGTGGTCATTAGGATTCAGATAATTGATTTAGGATTAGGGTTATACTCTTTTCATAGGCATGGAAACTGGTTGTATAAGACTGTTGTTCTGGATTGGAAAGTTGAAATACTGGAAAGTTGAAACACATCAATCTACCAATGTGTTGAACTAAGAGGCCTTCATCCTTCGGCAGACTGAGAGAAGAGAACCTCAGTTCAGCACTAAAACTAGAATGCTTAATAAACGGATCACTCAGAAAAGCTCAAATCATGTTGCAAAATCTGGTTGTTTTGTATATTATCTTGTAAGACACTTGCTTTTTCATGTGACAGTTGAAAGCAATTTTATAATACAAGGAAATAAATATAATATTGTTTCTTTGATTAATCAGATTTCCATTCTGACCAATGGAAAATTTAAAACAGTCTTGCTTTTCTGTTATATATCCTCATATCATTGAATATCTTCAATAGAAATGCAACTAAGTACTGTAAATCTTTCTTAGTCAGAGTCATGTTCAGTTGACTTTGGATATCATTCTGTACTTCTTTTTCCCTTTTCCTCAAAGTATACAATGAGCATGTATGTAAGTATGCATGTATATGTGCTTGCTTGCTAGGTAACTAGTAAACTTGTTTGTTAGCTTGCCCTATGCTTTCAACTGGGACAACTATAAATTTCTAAGTTCTGAAGAATAGGATGGGGTTCATCATGTGTAGCTTGAATCCCTGGCATTAATGGTAAGTAAAAGTGACCAGATAACTGATTTGGGGCTGGGTTGAGTTACAGTAATGGTACATGCATATTTGTATGTGTTCTTTTCCTTCCTAAAGGTTTAGTTTCATTTAGAAGTGGTAGGAAAGAGAGATTGATGTGTACGTGGGCAAATCTATTCATGTAATACTGATTTTTACTGATGTGTCATAACCATTCTCAGCCTGCACTGGAATTTCAAGCATTATTCGAAATATTATCAGATTTAAATTTAAACTCTTATATTGTGTAATGTTCTTTAAAATACAGACACAATAGGTCCACTTGCCATAGATTTTTCTCTAGATTCAGCTACCTACTAGAAATACATGTATGAAAAAATAATATTCCATTTTAACCTTACTAAACCATACCAATTAAATAGTACCATTGAATTTGATATCTTTCTGTTGCACACAAATTAGATTTAATCTGGGGGATCTGTCATAACTTGAACAGTTGCAAAGTGGCCAATCATAAATCAAGGGCTACCTGTATTGATCTCATGTTTTTATTACCCTATGCCAGGGGTAGGGGAACTTGGCTCTTTTATCACTTATGGACTTCAACTCCCAGAATGGGACTGTGAAATATATATTTGTATATTAAAATGTCCTACATTTGTATATTAAAATATGTCCTACATTTGTATATTAAACAGTCCCATTCAAGTCAAAAGTTGATTTCCCCCACAACTGAGAAACCAGTAGGCCAGAGATGGGGAACCTTTTATGGCTCACTCAGGAATTCTGGGAGTTGAAGCCCATAAGTGATAAAAGAGCCAAGTTTCCCTACCCCTGCCCTATGCTATCCTTTTTCTCACCCAGTAATCAGAGGGTAAGAGCAAGTGCTCATTAGCATAGAAAAAGCTTAGTATTATATACATTGTTTCTTTTCTCCTTATGATGGCTTTAGGTACAGGGAGAATTATCTGATATTTACTTATATAGAAATATAAAAGGGTTGTTTATTTAGTCAGCTATTCTTGAAAAGGGGAAGTGCCTAAAACTGGTAACTATAATGTTTTAGTCCTTTGGAAACTTGTAGAGAAGTAAATTCCACTAAATCAGCAAAACAAGTTGTCATTAAGAAATTTAGAACTAGCTTTGTTGTATACTAAACTTGCATTACAACTTGGTGTAAAACATTAAGCTCTTTGGAATCATGTTGACATGCATGATTAGCAATTACCTTTTATGAATAATCCCTTTTTCCTGCCTTTAAAACTATGATCAATCCTGTCCTTCAATGTGTATGTTTTCATACAACATACATACATTTTAGGGAAAAAAATACATTTTAATACTGAAATGTCAAATGAAAAAAATGAGTAAATGGAAAATTATCAAATAAAAATTTGACTGTATTAAAACCAAATTTTATTATAATTTATCAGATTTATATCTTGCTTTTCCACAGGAAGACAATTTCCCATACAGAGCATCCCTCTCATTCTCCCCCCCCCCCAAAAATAACCATCTTGTGAAAGGGGTTGAGCTGAGAGTGTAATTGGACCAGGATCATTCAGTGACCTTGAACTGAGGCCCTCCACTCCTGGTCCAACACCAGAACCACTACACTAAACTAGTCTAATTCATACCTTTTGAAACCAGATGGTGATTTTTCCCAAGCATGCTAATATGGTACAGAATAGTTCTATACAAGCAGAAGCCCGTTCTCCTTTTTTTAATGCTGTTTCTATAGTGCCTTCTCATGAGCAGCTTTTCAAAAGGCATAAACAGCTAAGCATGAAAAACAAGAAAAAGGGGCTATAAGATATAATGGTTTATGTACAAAGAGCAAATGCAAATTTAAAGCTCCAGTCATCTCCAGGCCGGTTCTCTCTTTGATTGATAGATAGCTACTGATTGTGTTGGTATCAAACTTGTATGGAAGAATAATGTGGTTTTGCTCTTTCTACTGAATATATAGCCTATTTAAATCTTATGGAGGCCTGTTCAATGGTAAAGCATTCATTCATGTTCCTGAACGTTAGCACCCAGTGTTAGACTGCCACAAGCTATCTGTTGCAGTGTATTTACACAATTTAACCCTGAGTAAATATAGATGGGCCTTTTCTAAAGCTTGTTGTCTGATTTCATTAACCTTATTCTTGGAGAAACTGTCCCAATGGCTCTAGGGAGACACATATGTGTTCCAAATATGGTATCCTGAGATGTGTTTTTTTCCTTCCTAATTATTTCTAAGTGCAATAGCACTTAGACTTATGTAAACGCTTTACAGTGCTTTACAACCCTCTGTAAGCAGTTTATGGAGTCATCATATTGCCTCCAACAATCTGGGTCCCCATTTTATCAATCTCAGAAGGAGGGAAGGCTAAGTCAACCTTGAGCCATTGAGACTCGAACTGCCAAATTCCTGGCAGCCAGCAGTCAGCAGAATTGGCTGTAATATTGCATTCTAACCACTGCACCACTGCAGTTCTTAAATGTTTTGTTATTTTTTTTAAAGAGATGACAATTCTTAATTTACATTCCAGGTTGTCAAATACCTTTATTGAGTACAAGTACACAAAACATTTGACTTAGATGCGTTGCTCTTTTGTTTTATGATAATTTCTTGGTAATAAGTTTTCCGAAGCAATCTATTTTCTTTCTCTTTTTTGTAAGAGAAAGAAATAATAAAGACTGTTAGTTAAAGAAAATTAGATAGTAAATTTCAAGTCCCCAGTCTTCGCTATTCCTAAACTAAGCTATCAGTAATTTAGAAAAGCATACATTTTCATAAAGCAAACAAAACGTTTCATTACTTCCATTCAAAATTGTCTGCCTTAAAAATGTACCTCTAATATGCAAACTCAAATGTGAAATCATTTATGGGTCCCAATGCATTTAAAGGTAGTCCTCACCAACAGTAATTGTGACTGGGGTCACAAATAATCAGTGGAACAGCTTCCCTTCAGAAGCTGTGTGTGCTCCATTCCTGGAGGGTTTTAAGAAGAGATTGGACAATCACTTGTCTGAAATGGTATAGTTTCCTGCTTGAGCGGGGGTTGGACTAGAAGACCTCCAAGCTCCCTTCCAACTCTGTTATTTTGATATTCAATCATAAGATGTGTGGTATCATGACTGCACTTACAGCATTAATTCCAGTGACCCCAGTTTTGCTGTCATTTAGATAAATCCCAGGTGGTCACGTCCCAGTCATGTGACCACCATTTGTGATGGCTTCCCTAGACAGTGATAGCAGTGGTCACAGCTGGTGATCACATGATTGGGATTCTGCAACGTAATTGTAAGCCAGTTACAAAGTGCCTGAATCATGATCCCATGATCACGCTGGGATGGTTGTAAATTTGAGGACTGGTAAAAAAGCTACCATGAGGATGCTGTGATGGTCACAACTACAAGGATCCATGGGTAATTACCCCTCGTTTAGTGCCATAATTTGAAATGGTCGCTGAACAAGTGGACATTAAGCAAGAATTTTCGGACAGCACTGGCTCTTCGGCTTTGTAACGCAGATGAGCACCACCTCCTAGAGCCAGAAATGATTAGCACGTATGTGTGAAGGGAACCTTTACCTTTACCTTATATTAGAACTATAGTTTAATGTTTATGCTTGCAAACACTATTTCACAAAAATACTTAACCTTTTAAGGATTGTGCTTCAATGTATTCAGCAGTTTGAGTTCCAATAACACAAAACATATATCGGTGTTAGATAGTTTCACTAACAAAAAAACCTAAACTTCACTGGGAAACCAACATTGCTAAAACTAATTGCATATAAAATGTCTGGATCTCAAAGTCTTTATTAACAAATGAAGGGTTATATACAAAGATAAATGGCAATATTTGCTTGAATTTGTGTGTGCTGATAAGATAAACAATGTGCTGTAAATTGGCCAGGCATCTTCATTATTTGTGGTAGAATTGGCAAGCCATCAGAGGCAGCATGAAGCATATAATTACTGTGAAATTTGCAGTTTCTTTGAAGGCCTGGGAAATAGCATCCATCTCTAAAAGTAGGCCTTCTTTAAAAATGTAGTGAAAAGCTTATTAAAGAATTTTTACCAACATCAGGCAAGTTTTCTTGGGTTTAGAAAGGAATAGAAAGAATACAATTTATGCCATTACATATTTGCATAAAAAGCTATGGCAAGTGTATTATTTACATTGAGATTAACTAGCTGTACAGATTGTAAAGTTTAAATTAGATGCAAGAAACTGTATCTAGATGTGCACCTGCCTGGTACACTGAGCAATCCTTAGCTGGTATTTGCTGGAGAGATAGATTTACAGGAGGGGTTTTTTTTAACCTTTTAAGTAGGATCAGGCAGTTGGAGAATCTTGCAGCCAAGCTTGATATATTCTTAAGACCTGTGGGTTTAAAAAATACATACACACAACCAATTAAAATAACAGGAAATAGCACCAATGTCACACAGTTTACCATTGCTTTTAATTACAATTAAAAGATACAACATACAAGCATACACAAACTATTAGGAAAGAAAATATCCTGTTTTCCTTGATGTAAAAGGAAACATTTGTTACAAATGCTCACAACTATTTTAGCTTATTATTTAAAATGAAAGCACAGCCAAAGGTCTTAATATTTCAAGAAAATACAGAGGATGATGTTTAACACAACACTGTTGTTTTTATGCTGATTATTTGGTCTTTGTGGCACAAATAAATAAATGCTCTTAACTGCTTTGATAACAGGCAATTTATAGCTACCAAAGAACCAATAGTAACACTTAAATGTTGAAAGGTTTGGATTCTGAAACCTGTATTATGGATTATTATAATAATACAAATGAGTTTGTCTCTTCAGCAAATTCCCCTTTTTACAATAAATGGAGGTTATTTTTCTATTTTCTAATTATGCACTCTGCTAATAAAAACTCAAGGATTATGAGATACAGTGAGAACATGCATTCCTACTACTACTAAGGCAGCTGCTGCTTTTGGAGGGCCACAGAGCCAACTGTCAGCCTGACAATAACTCATAATCTACTGGAATTCTCCTTTATTGTTATTAGGTAGCCAGTGGTACTTAAAAGTTTACAAATCCTATTGAATTTTCTGACAGTAAGGAGAAACATAACCATATTAACAAACTCTGCTAATCAATCTTCCTCTCTGGGGTGCACTCCTGGTTGCAGAAGTATTCCCAATGGAAAGGAAGAGGATAAGCCATTCGTCAGATGATCCACTCGATTCCACCAGGCCCCTGCTTGCTTTATCTAGGATTATTATTGGTGAACTCGCATGTACTATCCTCATGCCTGATGTACGAGGAAAGCTGAAAATTAACGAGAGAGTTCATCTGTTGGCTTAAATAGTAAATTGAACACTCTTATTTTACACTACCTAAGCAAGATGAGAAGATACAAGTTGTTGGCAATCAGTACTCCCATCTAACTAGATCTGAGCAACGATTGTGTCTGTACCAGCATCCTGAGCAAGACTATTCTCTGGAACAGGTTATGTAGAGACACTCCACGATTTAGTAGTTATCCTGTGCTTTCTGAGACAAAATTGCCTTTATGGATCTCTACTGGGACTGAAAACTGGCTGCTTTTTCATTGGTAGATCCCTAGCAGCCTTTTGCCTACCTCTTAAAGCCAATGGGAATGCTGCCTCCTAGACATTAACTCATCTGGATTGCATTCATAACAGATTATTGACTCACCTGAGACAAACATACCTCTGATTTGTGTTAAGAATATGTAAAATGCTCTGACACTAAATAGTTTCAATAAAATAATTGGTGAGTGATTAAAAAAAAACGGCTTTTTCATTGTTTTCAATGTCCTGGCCATTTTAAGTGCTGTGTCCTGGATTGTTCAGCCCAACAGAAAAACAGATCAGGGGAAATCCAACACAAATATCAAAAATAATCTCCCCCCAACTTTGATTAAATTAATAATTGAGGCTGCTATTGAAGGAAAACGTGGAATTCATTCCAGAAACAATTACTTATTCGTAATACCACCAGAACTAGGTTGCAAAAATCTGGATGACTAATAGAGTCCAGCAAAGAAGTAGATTTTTCCCTCTTTTGATTGCCTCCTAGTGGCTGTCCAGATTTCTGCAACCCTAATCTGGTAACCCCATTATTAGTGCAAATGTGAGGTCCTTGATGTTCTCTGAGCTTGGTTGCTTTCTTGCAGACATTTCATTACCTAACTAAGTAGCATCATCAGTGATGAATTATCAGCATCCTCAGCATCCGCTGAATAATGAAACAGCTCCAAGAAAACAACCAGGCTCAGAGAACACCAAGGACCCCACAGAATTGTACCTGCTACTACTGGTTTACATTGAATAGAATAAGAGGAGGAGAGTGTTGAAAAGAAAGTACATGGCCAAAAAGAATAAGACTACTGCAGGGGTGCTGTGAAATCACTTTGGTCTTTTAAAAAAAATCTTTTCTGCATTAAAAGTACACATGGATAAACAAGTTACATTGTTCATAAGCATACATTCCTGCTTTTGCAGACAAATAATGTAAAACGTGTGTGTGTTCATACATGCGTTACCGTGCTTCGCAGTGTTACTAATTCTGTCTTGGTTTGTTTGTTGAGCTTTGGTATATATCCCTATTCTGAGTAGTATCTGGCATCTTAAGCTGGGCTTCAGGATATTTTTAAGATTGCTAAACCTCTCTTGGCTTATTGAGTGCTTAGGATGCACTTTGTACATGCTCTTATGCTGGCCTGCTGAGCTTTCGGACTGTGTTTCAAAACACCAAGGATGAAGAAACTCTATTGCTTTCTCACTGGCAACAAAAAAAAAACCACCCTGCTTTTGTTTTGTGCTGCACTAAGTTTTGTTGTTCAACTTCTGCTGATTCAGCTCCAAGTATATATGCTTCTTTCATCCCTGGAGCAATTCGAAGTGCATTTTTCTTTCTAGTTGAACAACCTAAGACAGTGCTATTTGTTGTTTTTCTTACAGCTGTACTCTTCAATAAAGGTATATTTATTAATATAAGAGTTATAAGCATCAGAGCTACAGTACAAACTGCAGTCCACTTGCTCTGGTGCTTTAACAGTAGCAAACAAGGGAGCAATCTTTATTTCATAGAATGAGAGTGTGAGCAGGCCACTATGCAACTCAGAACCATCCACTTTTCACTGATACTGAAGCACAGGGTTGCCATCTTAAATTCCAATATAAATCAGCCTGGGCTGATACAATACCAATTCTGTATTTATATGTAAATTTTGTTTAAAACCATGGTCTTGAAAATACTATATATTGAAATGAGTACAACCTTATCCTGTAAGGAATAAATAACATTCAATTTGATGAAGATTACTTCATGAAAATTTGTTCTAACCAGCACTGGTCTAGCACAGCATGATTTTAAAAAATTACAAAAGCAAACTGAAATATGTTCTGAAATATGACCATCTATCTGATGAGGGCTGAACGAAATGCATTTCTAAAAACAAATATCAAACGGTCCATCTTGAGTACCCATGTAAAAGTAAAACTCTTGAATATGGCACAAAAATTATTGAAATCCTTATCAACTTTACTTTGATGACCATCCAATCTTTTTTTAAAAAAAATCCTAACGAATATTTATATATACACATTAAAATACACACAAAATGGGATTCCCTCCGAATAATGCAAGTATGGAATTAAAACCTATGAATATACAATTGGATTAAAGGATGCTTTTTATTACATCATATCTGAAACAGCACAATATTTTTTTTGCAAAATATTTTGCCATTTGAGAATCATCAATTTACAGAGAAAATAATTATCACATTTGAGTTGTTTTTCCATTGACTAATTCAATGAGATGAACACTTTTGAAATAGTTTTTTTATAAATTATATTACACTAAAAATTTAATACTGACAGAGATTGATAATCCCCGCAAAAGATCCCATTACATGATTTTCTATATTGTATTTTTAAAGCATTAATGTCTTCTCACCTTAGCCAATGAGAGATTTCAGGAATGCAAAGCTATTGGCAGGTTGGAGATTCTCTGCAAAACAAGACAATTTACACTTAACATGATGTTTTAACACACTCAAGTTGCAGTTCTTCCCACTTATAAATGAGCCATTTACAGAGTGCAATTTCCTATTAAATTCAAATACATGTGGCTGAAGATTTTTCAGCTGAAGAGTAGTGGCCAGAATGGATATTTATTTACTTTTTAAGGATTACTAGTGCCTTATAACTATGAAGGTAGATAAACAAAAAACAAAATCTAGTACACTTTCAAAGTTATTCCCATTCCATTTCCATTGCATTAGTCATTTTGTCCTGGTTTTTATAGTCACAATTACAGAGAAAGGGACCTATGTTGTTAAAACTTTTTTCGCACTTTCCTTCTCCCCTTTTCTCTCTTTCACCAGAAAGAGTAAGATAATTTTCTAGAGGTAACATGGGACATTCAACTTCAAGTGGTATTTGTAACTATTGGGTGAAGTCAGTCAGAATCTGGTCCATATCACAAAGAGACCACGAGCTCTCTAAAAGTTTATTCTGGTTTTTTGCTTTGATTTTTACAAATGCATGCAAAGTTAGAGCATTTTAAGCCATGTGCAACTCCAAAGTGGATAGGGAAAGTAGAGACAGGGAAAAAACGGTCACTTGACTGCTGATATAAAACCTCTTTCTTAAATGTGCCAGAATAATTTTTCCCCATAACCCTCAAGCACAGTTAAAATCTTTAGACTATTCATTATGGTTCTTTTTATAGTATTTTTATTTAATAAAACCTATTAAGACTACCATACAAATCTCTTTACTTATGCTTTTATCTTTTAACTGATCAATTTTTATATTGCTGACATCTCCTCTTCACCATTTGCTCATTTAAAAATTCATAGTACATGAACTATGTCTCTGGAGAAAATGTCTATAAAATTTGTTACAGCTGGCAAATGTGTATGAGTCAGTGATAGCACATGACTAAATGCTTCGCAGAAAATAAAACTTGTTTCTGTAGTAAGCAGAACTGTTTAAATGTTATTTATTTTTATGTTTCAAAGAAAATATATTGTGAAGTGCTGCATTGATTTAATACACAACATTGTCTGTGTACACGCTGTACAAGGAAAATTTATGAAACCTTTGCACAACTCCTTTAATTGAATTTTCCAAATCTCTCACCACACACAAATAATCAATATCTTCTGCAGAGAAAACCAGTCAGAATTATTACCGTCTTTCTTTTCAATGTTGTTGTCATCAGCACATAGAGAGCACCTGGATATTTGTAATGTCTGGATAGCAAGTTATTTACACCTCTTTAAAAGTAATTGCTATTAATCCCCTCAGTTGTGCCTTCCCACACCCTGTTTTATTTTAAATAACCATTACATGTCTGAAAGAAAAGAAACAGGTATTCTTTTTGAGCATTTGTAGTCATGTAGGAACACAGTACTGATAACATTTTATAATTTAAGTTTTCATTTCACTTGATATTCATATTCCTATATTATTGTAAGGCTCACTGAAAAAAAACAACTATAAGAAATAAAAGCATACAACAATTGGATCCAAGTTCATGAGCCAATTCTGAAAGGTTTGCCTATAAGGAATGCAATTTGGTAAGCTGGCATTTGTATATTTGATTTTGAATATAATTTAAGATATTCAGGTATATATTTTCTGTAAATGAGTATCACAGCCAACCTAATAAGTAACATTTAACCTAGAAAGTATAGAACATTAAACTACACTTGAAACATTCAGTTTGCTTTCAAAATATCTAACATTACTGCAAACTATGATGCTACATACCTCTAATGTTGTATTTTAAAATTGACATCTTAACTACTGCTACGCCAAAGATTAAGATGACCAAATTTTATACAGTGAATAAAGCATTATATCGTACAATATTCAGAGGCCAAAAGAATAATGGAGGACTAATCATTTTTCTTCCCACTAAGTAGCATTTCTCTGCTAGACAGATTAAAATCTCACCTAAAGCAAAAGATGCCACACAGAATCAATACAGCCCAAACTTAGTTTCTTACAAAATAATTTCAAGAGTGGTTCAGTCTTCAAAGGCAAGTGAGACAACAATATTGTTTTCGCTTTTCTGAGGCGAACTCCTATTGAACTCTGAAGAATTTATCTTTGAATAGGCATGCATGGGGTTGCAATGCAAAGTTTCAATCTTACATCATACAATTGGAATTTATTACTGAGAAATAAATCACAATATCAGCCATATTGAACATATTGGGGATTACTTTTGAATATTCATTTATAGGATTGACTCTAGGAATGTATTAAAAGTGTTTAAAAAATTAAGAAAACATTGTAACAAAGATAACAAATCCTATCTTATACATAACCAGGTTCAATTTGCAAGTGTAAAAAAACCTTTGACAAAGAAGTGCAGAAAGATCATTAAATAATAACATTCTTAAAGCCCCCTTATATTGACTAACTTTATAAAATGCCTTACTAAGCTACAAAGTGATTTATCATGATCCAGTTTTCCATGATCCAGATGTGTGGGACTACAACACCCATTATCTCCAGCCAATGGTACTTTGAATCCCTTACAGAGGAATTTCAGAATATACCTTTTCAATGGAGAAAATAATAGTGCATAAGGCAACTCCTATGACCAGCAGGTCTGCAGTCTACACTTTCCAGATGATGTAGGACTTGGCCAACTTTGGTTAGATTGGGAAGTCAAGCCGAGTTAGGCTGGATGAGTATTTGGCTGGGGAAAACATGACCAATCAACGTAGGTAGCTCTGAACAAGCTGGACTAATCGTCTCTTAGTATGTGACATTTTTTATCTTCCCACATGAAAATGTCCTAATGTCTAGAGCAGTGCTTTTCACTATTAGCAACTTTAACACTGGTTGGAGAATACTGAGAGTTGAAGTCCACCTACCTTAAAGTTGCAAAGGTTGAGAAATAATGGTCCAGAATACTTGGTATACAGTACATTGTAATTTATCTTGCTCTAAATATCAGGCCTAGACAGTTTGCCTTCTACCTGTCCAAGGACTCCCATTCTACCTTTTTGGGATCAGCCAGCTGCAACTGAGGCACTATACAATTGTGGCAAATGGCAAACTGACTGGGAGGCAAGCAAAGTCTGATAGCTTCACATTGCTTGATCTCTTCATGGCAAAAAGCTAGATTAGATGTATTATCTAAATCAGGCTAAATGCAATACAATAATATTGCAAAACTCAGAGGGCAGCTTTTTTAAAAGAAAAAAAAGACAAAAAAAAGACTGTAAAACTCCACTGCTTTGTCATGGACATGGCAAACCCATTTGTAACAGATCCTTTTGTTTTCTAATCAATTGGAATTTGTCCAGTGGATAAAGCACCACTTTTTCTATTTGGCACTAGATACAGTACAAGCCTCTCCACAAGTGATCAAGTACTGTCTGGGACTCAGCAGGATAAAGGTTTTTGTGCTTGGATTTGCTCCTCCATATGCTGAAAGAAAAATTTCCTTTGGAAATATGCAGCACCCATCCTACACAGAGACACGGCAAAGCAGCAACACAACTCGATTTCATCTCCTGGCAGCTGCTCTCAAGTTTGCTTACATTGTCTTCAAAAACATTTTGTTTACTGTAAATGCTAGTCATGGGCAAACAATGGCGCTATTTTTTATGCTGCTAACATAAAATGATATACTAAGATCTACATAATGCTGTCCATTGATGAAGGAATGCTCTGAATCAAGTTGTTTTAAGTAGAGGTTGTTTATGTAAAGTAAATAAATTTAATGCCTCACCATGTGATAATAATGTGACATTCCATCAGTACCAAGCCAAACAACAGTCACAAGTTTTATATCCTGAGCGTAACTAATTAAAAATCATTATAGAAAACCACATCCAAAAGTAAAAAAAAAGCAAAATAAAACACTACGTTCCTTCTTCAGTTGCCCTTCCCTCCTTGCAGTTATTTTTGACACACCCATTCTTATCAAGACAGCAAAAAGGATACCATTGCAGCAGTTAAAATCAATGTTGTTAAAATCTAAAAGTACCTTTTGTGTTCCTCAACCAATTTCATACTCCATGCTAAATTTTATGTGCTTTTGGGGTGGGGTGGGGGTAGTGGAAGGAGTGTCAAATATGCCTCTAGCATTCAAAATTGAAGAAATCATCTCATTTCAACATCTCATTAATAGCTGTTCTTGAACACAAAACACTCGATGCTTTGTTTTGTTTTTGTGTTAATTGACTACTATATTGAAAGGAGGTTCTGAAGAGACTATGGTATTGATAAACAACCCTGGAATTTAGTATCACGAGATGTTATGCAGGATACCAGCCTAGCTGGCTTAACAAAAAGTTTGGACCAATTCATGGAAGTCATGCAGATCAATGCCTATGGGCCTAGATGAAACATGTCATGAAGGCCATGGAAGATTTATTTGTACAATTGGTTGGCCACTGTGAGAACAGACTGCTGGGCTAGATGGGATCTGTTTTAAGTTTTTAGTTCTTTTCATTAGCTAATGGCCAGTTTTTAAAATAACCTCTGATTTCAAGACCAGAAGATTTTCATCATGTTAACATTCTTGACCTCAACTAGAAACTTTGATCTGTTTTTATCTACACAGGAATCGGGGACTGTATCCAGTTCGAGACATTCAGTTTGCCATAGATGATATAATGGATTTACTTTCCTCATTGCTATTAATAAATGATTCCCCATCCCCCCACCCCCACCCCCAGTGAACAAGAGAGAGGGAAAAGTGGACTTAGCACTATCCTAAAAGCTTGTATGGTTTCTCTTTCCATCACTCCTGAGTTTATTTCATGCTACCTATACACAAGAATCTGGTCTACTGATGGTCAAGGCAGGTAGGTAGTAGATAAGCGTCAATGGAATTCATAGGGAGCTGGATTTAGGTTTCTTGTGGGAGAATAGCGAAACTCAAACTCATGACATGTTTGACCCCGCCCTCCGGCTCAGACTGATCATCTTCTACACATGAGCAACCTTTGGCGTCCTGAAGGCTCCAGCAGTTTCCAGGTCACACCTTAGCAACTGCCTTTGCCCATCACAGAAGATGAGCACTCTTACACAAAAGCCAGCAATTCAATTTTAGCAATTAGTCTTGCCTGCTATGAATAGATGGGAGCCCTCATGGCTTCCCATTGCTCCCAGCAAAGCAATAGTGACAGAGAGGAAGCAAAAAGCAGGGAGTGGGGGAGGCACAAAAAGTACCAAAGGTAGAGAAAGAGAATCCAAGCCATTGTTGACTTCCACAAATGGGGCTCCAGGTTTGTGCAACTAACTGATTAGTGCAGTATGAAGAGATCCCAGAATTCCCCAGCCATCCTTGGATTATTGGCTTCCTAGATCCACAGAGAGTTATGAGATCTTTAGCAAGCAACACATATCAACCAGAGGCTGTGTTTAATCTTTGTGCCACACTCATTCCTGCTTTATGTAGCTGGACTCTCTAATAAACCACACTCCATTTTAAACTAAGGCACAAATTGCTGCTGTGGTGTTCTTATCGTTAAAATATTTTTTAAACAGTAACACCGTTTACTAAATACAGTGTTTTGATTAAAAATTGAAAAATCTATCCTAAAAATTTCTATATACAGACACAAAGCACATATAAAAAATGTAGTAAAATAGGTGGGAAAAAACAAGGCAAGAATGTTATCCGTTCAGTTAACAATAAAGAATGAGAAAACCCTACTCAACACATCTGACACCCAGCAAGCTAAGTCTTCATTGCTGAAATGTCCTTTATTCTGTTTCTTTTAAAAACTAAATCATAACCGCAAGGGAAAACTAATCTATTTGATCAAGATGTGTGTCTGCCTGTCTGGCACCAAGAACACACTGCTGAGCTACGGAGATTTCCGATATCAATAGAAATGCGAAATGACTTCAAGCTCAGGAAAAAGGAAGTATTGCCTTGAGTTTTAAGACACAAGATTGGGAACTAGCTGTCTTCCCCAGTTCACTCTTTGCCTGCGAGGACAGACAAGCTACTTATCTTCCTAACCTTTAACCAAACTTTGTGAAAGAAAACACACATGCTGTTTTTCCTATCCTCGCATCAGTCGGAGATTTTGCTCCTGATAATTCATAGCCATTACTCACATGTTTTTAAGTAGTGAGTACAGGACCAAGAATAAAATTAGGCTCATAGCTTATGTGAGTGCATTTCCAAATATTCTGGACACAATGCTATATGGACAGCTATACTGTGTATGATGGAAATTTTCTTTCTAAATGACTGACTAACCACAGATTGGGATCAAGTCTTCTTGTAAACACGATCAGTATAGCAAAAAAACAAACATGCACATATGCCACTGCAAACACGATCCCATTAGATATGAGGCAGTGGTAAGGGGCCTTTGCTCTGTCTTTTTAAAGCAAGCTTTGAAGCGAATCGTGCAGTCCCCTTGCAGCTGAGGATTCAGTATGGAACTGAGATGACATTGGTCACACTGTTTGACCACTAGAGGGATAGTATTGCGCTCTTGCTTCTCTTGATCTCTCATCAGCCTTCAATACTATCTTCCACGATATCCTTTTGGGCCAGCTCCAGAGGTTAGGAGTGACAAGGCAAAATATATTGTAGATCTCCTCCACATTTGAGGACCAATCAGTGTTGATAGGGAAGAAGAGGTCTGCCTTTCAGCTTCTCTTATGTGGAGGAGAGAGGGAGAGGGAGAGACAGAGAAGGTGGGGGAAGAGAGAGTGTGAATGTTCAGAAAATCTTCTTAAGAGCAAAAGCAGCTTGTAAGATAATGGAACAAATAACCTTAAGAAGTGGAAGTGGAAGGCTCTCTGGTGCTGGATATGCTCAGCATATAGTCATCTGACAGGCTGAGTGCTTTAATTTTGGTTCCTGCATTAAGAAGGAATTGGATTGGGTCTAAACAGTCTTTCAAATTCTATGAATCTGTATAGCACGTGATATATTTATGCTTTCAAGGTGGATTTCCTTTTTCCTTCATCTGTCAAACATATACAACTTTAAGAAGAATCTCTGTGAAAAACCGATGATCAGAAATACTCCTTAAGACCGTGGAAAAAGATCGTTTATCTTACTAGCTCATAACCTCCTGATTTTAAGCCACTGAAGTGCATAATGTGAAACAGAACTATAAGGTGCTTATTTTTAAATAAGATATACTTAAACCTTCAGGTGGGTCAGCTAAGCAGTGATGTCAGTTAAGCATCTCATCTTTTTAAGTCCCTTGGTGAGATTGGACTTTGTAAAATAGAGTTCATTTGTCTCTGCAATGTGGCAAGGCTGTATTCATAAATGTTGAGTGCTCTCAAGTCCCCCAGTAATAGACATTAGAGAAATATTATCATTATTAAAGCCTTGGGTGGCACCAAGGCTGTACTGTACACTGAAAGATTTAAAGTTAAGAAATGGTGATGTGGGTAAGACACATACAGGGGTGTGTTTGTGTGTGTAAATCCAGGCATTAACAGACTATAATCCCCTTAAATATGCTGCTTTCATGGTGTTAAGAATACCAAAAACATTGTATGTTCTGGTTCCAACTTCTTGTAAGCCCCCCAAAGAACGCTGCAAAAATAAAAGTGAATTAAAGATACCCGAGGGGAAAAATGGCAGTACTAAGTGAGGCTTAATCTGTATTAAAGGCCAAGGATTTCAGGAGAATAGAGAGAATGGAATTTGTGCAAAGTGTTCCTCACCACAAATGCTCTATCACTCTTCTGCAGAAAAACTGCACCATTGCCTTAGCATAAAGGGTCACAACTGAAGGTGCTCTAGGATCACATGCAGCCTCTAGAACAGGAGTGTCCAACTTTGGCAACTTTAAGACTTGTGGACTTCAACCCCCAGAATTCCCCAGCCAGCATGCAACTACCAGCAATTCTGATAGTTAAAATCTACAGGTCTTAAAGTTGCTAAGGCTGGACACCACTGCTCTCGAGTCTTTATGACCATGATCACTGAATCACATTTTCTTGCATTTTGTCATACTGTCTACTCTTTCAAAATGGGAAACAAATATATTTACGTGAGTCTCAAAGTAAAGATCACACTTTAAAAAAAAAAAAAGCAAGCAAGCCACTCCCCAAAGGTGTACATTTGGTTCTTTTCCGTGGATTCAATATTGCAAAGAAAAAGATTTTGGTAGGAAAATAATTTCATTTCTGAGTAAGCTGCATGTTTGCGTAAGGGTCTCTGGAAAACCCCAAACAATTTCAAAATAATGGGGGGCGGGGACACACTATCAAAATCTGTGCAAAATGTTCCCAACTTTCTCCTCCCTCTCCAAACCTCTCTCCCACACTTCCATTGTTTTATAAGGGCCCAGTCTTCTATAAAAAATATTTTGGACAATGTAAGGGCTCCACAGGGAAGAATATAATTGTATTTCACTGGATATTATTTAACAGCTCTGAACCGCCTTGGTATCTTTTTAAAAAAACTTGCTGAAAAATTCATTTTAGAAAATAATGGCATTTGGCAATCAAAGAAATAAATAAGAAGTCAAGAGCCACTGTAACTGTCAAATTATTGCAGATCTAATGCAGACTCAGTAAATAATAAATATCAATTATATCAATGCTCATCCTATAAGACTAAATTTTCCAAAGATATAACAGAATATAACAGGATTTCATGGAAACTGGATTTCATATCATTTTATATTATGTGAAGGCAAAGCCAAAATACAAATCAAAATTATCCCTGATTTCTTCATCCTCTAGAGAAGGTGTGTCCAACCCATGGCCCATGAGCCTCATGCGGCCCCCGACGGTTTGTAATGAGCCCCACAAAATCATAAAAAATATTTAAAAATAAAGGAAGTTTATTATTTATATACATTAACTGTATTTTGTGTGTGGCCCAAGAACATTTCTCTTCACTCTTTGTGGCACAGGCCAGCCAAAAGATTGGACAACCATGTTCTAAAGTGTTCCCACTCAAGGCTTCCAATGAATTTGCAGATATATATGTATGTATGAATGAATAAATAAATAAATATTCCACCAATTGGTTCAGTCTGTGATAGCAGTTGCTTCCCCACCAGCCAATCATCCCTGTTACAAAGATAAATCCAACTTCCTTCATGTGGTCTCTTCAACTATATTGGACTTCAACTCCACCACTCCATATCACAACAAGCTTCTCCAACTGGCGCTCTCTCCATCAACACCCGCCAGTATATTGGCGCTCTTCTCCATCAACACCCACCAATATATTGGTGGGTGTTGATGGAGAGAGCGCCAATTGGGGAAGCTTGTTATTAGAGTGAAAAAATGGGAATGAAGTTTTCCCAGTTCACCAGCAATATGTTTCTTTTACATTGCTAGCCAGAGGGGGAAAATATGTAAATAAGCATATTCAATGTTCCATTTAGAGTTTTTAAAATGAAACTGCAGTCCAATGTAAGTAGCTTCTTGGCATTTGATCAACTACAAAATAACTAATACCAAACATGGCTCCTTAAACCATATCACTTTGGTTAGACCAAGAGTGTCCAATCTTGGCAATATTAAGACCTGTAAACATGGCGGGCTGGGGAACTCTGGTAGTTGAACTCCACAGTTCTTAAAGTTGCCAAGGTTGGACACCTCGAGTTAGACCCTTATATATGACAATGTGTCTTTATATTATCTGCTTAAGAACTTGGGAAAGAGAAGAATGCTACATTATACTGCTTGGGGGCGGGATGGCGCATTGCGAAACAGAGTGTCACGAAATGGAGTTCCCTAGTAAGTTAGCCATCAAAGCAAATGTTGTACAATATTAAGGAATAAAAACCTCACCTTGAGTAGAAAATCTAGCAGCACCCGGTTTTCGCAGGTTTCTCTTTCTGACTTGCTCAACTGGAGAAGAAACAATATTTGGATATAATGAGAACTCTACTTGTGTGATTCTAATATATAAAATGGTGGTTAAAGAACACCCAATGAAATCATTACATTAAAAACTGCTAAATTGGATGCAGATTTCTACTCATAGAATGAATGTTTTCTAAGAAAGCATCAGGAACAGGAGTGGGATTCTACCGGTTCGGACCGGTTCTATAGAACCGGTTGTTATGATTCTGCTTAGTTCGGAAAACCAACAAATCATGCCCCTGGCTGGCCCCACCCTGCCCCTCTCTGCCTGCCCCTCCCCTCCCCATCCAGTCAGTTCTCATAGCGCATGCGCAACATCGCGTGCAAGCCCAACATTGTTGACTGTGTTCTTCCCTGCCCAGTCACTCTTTAAGGTATTTCTTTTTTTCCCTCCCGACAATCAGCTGTTCCCATGATCAGCTGTGCCAGGATTCCTCTTGCTGTCTTACTGCTTCACCCAGGAGGCTTCCCTGAGGCCCAGAAGGCCCCAAAATAGAGCATGGGGGGTGCTATGTACCCCCGCTCCATTTTTTTCCTTCCTGAGCCCCAGGGAAGCCTTCTGGCAGCAAAAATGCCCCCCAGGAGGTTTCCCTGAGGCTCAGAAGGCACCAAAATGGGGGTGGGGATGTGCTACCAAAAAAAGCCATGCCCACCCAGTCACATGGTCAAGGCCACCTAGCCGCGCTCACCTAGCCTCGCCCACAGAACTGGTTGTTAAAAAATTTGAATCCCACCCCTGATCAGGAATGATAAAAGATGGTTCCAGGTAGACAGGAAATCAAGCCGTTTTATTTACATGACCAGCTGCAGACATAAAAAATCAAATTCTAAATACTAATCAAGGTTTCAGAGATTTTGTTTAATAGACCTTAATAATCCAGTCTGTGTGTTTTGAAAAGTTATTTTCACTATTGCAATTTTTATTTGAATTATATTTTATGACAGTTTCTATGCTATTTAAATGTTCTCATCTTAGTTAAGGAAATGAGAAGGGAAATCACCCTTCCCTTAGACCTTATAACACTTCTATATTACCCCAAAAAGAAAAGCAGAAAATAGAATCTTAGTAAATTTCCATATAAATGGCAATAATATATCTTAATTTAACATATGGAAATACCCACACACACAATTAATCTTACATATAGTATATATTACTACACACATGGGTAATAAGGATATTAGGATACACTAAAAAGTTTCTAAACAAAATTCTAATATTACAAGAATGATAAAGGACAAGTATTAGAAGAAAATATGCAACTAATAGCCATAATATTAATATTGTCTAAATTAAAACCCAGAAAGTCTTATGTATGAATGGGTTAGTAAGTTGAAAAGTACAGATAGGATGCCAAACTTGATCGTTTCATCTGTGAAGGTTGCTTTCATCAGGTTACTTTTTAACTTCCTCAACAAAACACTTTAATTTATGGGTATAATCCTATTTACCTAAGAGTTCACTAAATTTTTATACTGTATTTAATTAGATAAACACAGAATTGAGCTGTGTTCCCTTAAATTTTAT